CCCCCCCAACCCCCGCCCCCCCCCAAAAAAAATAAAATAAAATAAAATAAATTGGGGGGTACATGATAGAATAAGGATAGTTTTTATTATATTTCTTAAATTATGTTCTGTTCCATCTCTGTAGTGCATCTGCAAGAGGTACAGCTTCTTGCATCATCCCAATACTTGTTCCTCTTCATAAGGTAAAGCATGCTCTGTCATATCTTGATCATGACTCCACCCCTCCAATTGTGGATAGGCATAGCCACCAGTAATATTTTATCTCATATTAGAAGCCCAATGTTTCTGACTTTGGCACAACCTGACTCCACAAACATCATTCATATTTCATCCAATCAAACTAGCATTGCCCAAACCATTTTATATATAGCTCCAAGTAAAGTATTCATAATAGTGTTCATACTTAATATGATTTGATGCAGAGCATGTCAAAGACAAACATATAACAGGTAGGTGGACTAATTTCTAATTCTGAGTTTATACAAAAATTTTGCTTCATCCAGTTCAGTTTTAATTATTTTCCTTTTAATCCTTGTCCTTATCATGTCAATTCAATCAATGCAAAAGTTACTTATACTACGGGCGCAAGTGAAAAGTGTATTATCCATAGCTTCAGAGTAGTAGCACTTGCAACTTTCATGAGAAAGCATACCAAGGATATACTGTCATCACATCAATCAGCACCATCGATGGCATCACTTTATGACAAACATTGGAACACCTCCCATTGGAACATGTTGCATTCTTAAATCCCAACCCTTGCTCTCAGCTAACAATGAAATATGTCCATTGTTTTGTTAAGCTAACACCATTAAGCATTTCTTTATAAGAAATTTCACTCCCGCAGCTCATTTATCAAGAACTCAAGAATTAGTTAGAGTCGTCTATATACACTTTTAATCCATTAGCCAATGTTTTGGTCATACTCACTAGGCCTAATAAATAATAAAAAAGTATTAGACAAACACAGAACTAGATCATACATGGTACTCAATAGATGCAATGAGCTTAACAAATCTAACAGAATGGCATAGACTCAACTCGAGCAATATGACATGTTATTTCTTCCCATTTTAAAAATCACAAACCATTACTGACTTGAAGCTACTGCACCAGTCGGCATTTAATAACAAAAAATGTATATATAGAGTGCAACCAAACCAACAAATCAATTTATTATAGCCTTTATACTCGAAAATATCAAGGACAAAAACACAATCGGTAGAGGATCCAGATGCCTTACAGAAACAACCAGCACCGTACCTTTCCAAAAATGGGATACTCAGCCTTGTATCTTGTACAGGCAAATTGCTCTGCATCCTGGCTACTCCCAGGCTCTTGCCGCAAAAACTGGTTGCATGGAAATGCCAATATCTCAAGACCTGAGATCAACCAACAAAACATTCTCTGGTGAGACCAATTTAAGAATTTCCTTTAGGCCCTTCAGTCTAACTAAGTTCAAAAGTATGTGGTCACTGAAAAGGCACAAATTCAGAATCCAATAGCACTGCTTTGTAAACCTAAAAAAAAATTTACCTCTGTCTTTGTATTTGCTGTAAAGCTCAGTTAACTGGGTGTAATTGGAATCCGTAAATCCACTGAAACATGCACCGACAAAGTTAATCAGCTACCCCAGGAGCAATAAAATGATAAAATAGAAAGAAAGATTGAATTTTTATAGCAACCACGTTAAGAAAGTTTGGTTAGGAAAAAGGGGGTGTGAGAAAATAAAAATACCATTTTGAAGCGACATTAACTACAAGAAGAACCTTCCCTTTGTAGGTGGCGAGGTTCACGTCTCTGCCCTTGGCATCCTGTACCAACCATTGCCCATATATGGTAAGAGATTTCTATAAGGATCTACAAAATCAAATAGAAATAAAAAATAAAAAAATAGGGTTTTTCTGTCGTTGAGATTCTTCTAAGTGTCTCACCTTGACCGTGAATTCATGGATGGTTTTTTCTGTGACTGATTGTGAAGCACCCATTTCTGAAAGAGGTGATGCTATGCTACACTTCTTACAACTTTCTCTCTCCTGTTTCTTAATTTAGAAGCTACACTCTGTTGTGCTGATATTTGTTGGCTTTCATAAACTCTCTCCCTTCAACACTTTAATGGTACTCTCCGTCTCATTATGTTCGCGGTCCAGTAACGCCAGATGAACAACTTTCATGTTTTTTTATGATTAAAGTTGACAGAGTTTACCCGTTATTTAATATTTTAATTCATTATCCAAAAATCTAGAATCTAAAGTGACAGTAAGCAATAGTTTAGTTTATTATCTCCATTTTTCAAATGTGATTACGATCAATGAAAATAATCAACGTTGAGCATTTCTAATGTCATTTCTATGCCATCTTAGAAAAGAAAAAAAAAGTTAAGAGATGATAGGAATATATATTTATTATTAACTAAAACTTATTAGAAATTATAATTTTTTCTCGAGCCAATTTTAATTTAATGATTTTTTCTTCTGATTTTACAGTTTTTAATAAAAAACAATAATAAAATGTTAAAAATATATTACTAGTCCTTTTATTTTTTTTAATATAAAAAAATAGTAAACCTTACGTTTTTTTATGAAAATGTTACTTATAGAACAGACAAATTTTGCATGACTTGATCACTTTTCAGAAGAAACGAGATAAACAACCCCCTTTACATACGCTCTTACATCTTGAAATTATAACATGGCCTTGAAATTCTGGGTAAATATGAGAGAAACAAATTTGATTGCTAACAACAATTCATAGTTTGATGTTGTTATTTTTTTTATTTTTTTTCCTTTTGCGAGGGGAAGCAATGATTAGTTTCCATCCTTACTTTTCTTAAATTAACGATTAGTAATAATTACGCTCCTTTTAAGTGATAAAGAATTCCATTCCTTATAACTGGGTTAAAATTTTAAAAATGAATAGACAAGTAATAATTTTGCTCGGACCCACTAAAATAAAATTTGTTAGAACGCAAAAATGACTTTTAAAAAACAAGAATCTTAGACAAAAAAAAATATACCAACAAATTCTATTGAAGAAGTTACATCAAAACTTTTGTACAACAGTTAAATCATTTTATTGATTTTCAAAAGATATTTTTAATAAGCTAATCATTGAAATAAATATCTGAGTTTATATCGGTAAAAAAGCGAAGAAAAAATTTTTGTTGATAAACATCTTCAAAACAGCAGAGACCGTGGTTTTATACTGTTATGTCATTTTATATTTTTTTTAAACGATGAAAATAAAATTTTAATCTAACATCTTGAATAAACTATTCAAATTCTCACCGGTAGACAGACTGTTCACTCTAGTGAGTATTTGTTAAGTCATTTATAAGTTTTTCCTTTATCTTATAATTTAATTATTTTTATTTGATTTGTAATTTAGCTGTTATTTATGCAAACATTATTTCCAACTAATAGAATAACTATAGCATAAATGACTGATTACTTCTTTACTTGTATATTGTAATGATTCAACGGATTTTGACACTTATTTCACAGATCAATAACAAGTAGAAACTAAACATATATAAATTATTTGAATGGATTAACATACAAAAACAATTGACTATATATAAGGTAATATGTAAAGAATGCAGAGTTTACAAAACATCTTGTACATAAATTGTATACATTAAAATCTTAAAACGTTTACATATTAATCTCTTAGATTGTTAGTCAAGTCTATACAAAAAAGTAGTCTCGCTTAGAGAGATAATATGAAACAAGTTACGTCCAACATGACTCACAAAACATTATTTTAAATCAAGTACTTACTTTTGTCTCGCTCGCATACTAGGTACTAAAGACATATCTTACAACAGAGGTGAGTAAAGTGGCTTGACCTTACCAAACCATAGCGTTAGACATATTTCAATCAAGTATAGTACAACGTCAGGTCTCAAAGAGAGATAGGTATAGATAACTTAGTTTAATTTATCAAATTTTGTTACTTAAACTAGGAAGTATAGTACTATGTCAAGGTATAACACTTTGGATATGAGTCTATGACATTAGTTTGCAACACTAAACCACCTATGAGATTAGTTAATTGACTACCCTTCAATACTAAGTTAAAGATTAAGTTTTCAACTTCATACTTTATTCGATTAGTCATTTAATTAAGATATAGTTGGACTACCTCCATATCAATCCACACAGATCCTAGAGGGAAAACCAACTTTAAAACAACAAAATTTACCTCTAGCATCTATGTATCTCATCTAAGACATATATCTTAACCACATGCCTATAGTTTCACAAGTTTAGCAACTATACAACATATAATTTACAACTTAACATCATTAATTCATCTATCAACTTACAACATAGATATTCATCGCCATATATTGTGATACATACATCATGATCATCAATATTTCATCGATAGTTCATCATAAAATAGCAAGCACATAATAGGCATGTTGTCCACAACACTACTCAAATGGTGCCTAGTGCTCCTTTTAGTTGTTAATTTCATCAAGAGGAACAAGTCAACAAAAATTTGCTCATGAATTGGTTGTCCTTGCAGATCCATGCTAAAAAAGTGGAGAAGAGTCTGATAGCCCAACATTGGATTGAATGCTCAAGGTTAGCATGGAGAGAAATAAGGGAAAGTAATAGAGAATTTGTTGCTCAACATCAAAAAGCAAGGCTTAGCACCTAAATTTCTATGAGTCCAATGCTTAGCACCTAAATCTCTATGAGCGCAATGCTCGGCTCTAGGGAATAATACTTAGCACCTAAATCTTTGTAAGTCCAATACTCAGAGATAAGAGCTTTCTTCACCCTGAAGAATTCTCTTGAGGCTCAACGATGAGGACATTGTTGGGCGACCAAATAAAAATATGCAGGCCTTGTTCTATTAGATCAAACATATAAAAGGAGGTCATATCAAAAAAGGAAAATGGGACGTGGGAGAAATACACAAAACACAAAATAGAGTAAGCAATAGGGAGAATTAAGGGGTTAGCTAGGAATAGAGATCTTGGATCTTCTCCTTCTCCTTCATCTTTTCCTTCTTCCACACAACTTATTCAACATCACTTAGCCATAAAACAACCCAACGATAAATGTTTATCAAGAACACAAAAATTCCAAATTCCCTTTTGCACAACTCAGCCACCAACAAATCCTACAATACATCACAAAATTAGGAATTTCAAAAGGTATCAATCAACATTCATACCACATGGAAGCAATGTAAGCTTTTCTTATCTCTTGGAGAACCAAAATCAGCTATAGAGAAAAGGAAAGAAGGAAAACACTCCCCACAACTTTGTACGGTTCCACTTGAGTCCTCTGGGTTTCACCAACTAGCCCTAATCAACTATAAAAGGAAAGAAGGGTCTCAAGAAAGAAGCAAAACTCTCTCATACTATCTCTCTCAAAACAGATATATGAAACCCTACTAAACTTGAGTGTTACATATATTGTAAAGAAGAAATAAGAAAATTTTCCTATAAAAGAAAGATGTACCTCAAGTAAAAGTGTTTGAGAATCAACTTCTATCAATTTTATTTTGAATCAAAAAGTTATCAACTCCAAATATTAAAATAATTTAGAGTTTGGTTTATTTTAAATTACTATCTTAAAAAACCTTAATCCAATCAAATTTAATAAAATGTAATTGTTTGAATTAGATTAGATGATTCAATTTTTATGACACTTCTTTTCTTAATCCAATTCAATTCAATAAAATGTAATTGTTTGAATTAAATGGAATGATTCAGATTTTATGACACTTCCTTACATGGTATATTACATTGATAATCTGATATTTTTCTTACTAAGCTAAAAAAATGTTGATTGGTAAAATTATAGAAAAACTTAGTACTCAACTAGACCATAAAAATTCATATTACGCAAGAAAAAGATAACTTATGATCTTCAAAGTACATATGATTTCAACGTATTAAAATGTTAGAATATTTGATACTAACAGTAGTATGACTGCAAATATAGAGTATAAAAAAAAAATTTACATAACTTTATAATTATATTTGTATACTTTATAAACAAAACCATAGCACTCAACTGGGCCCAAAAAAAAATCATATTATGCATGAAAAAGATAACTTTCTACCTTCAAAATACATATATGCTTTCACTAATGAAAATATTAGAATATTTGACACTAATAATAGTATAACTCTGCAAAAATAGACTATTAAAAACATATTTAAATAACTGTATAATTACATTTACATAATATATTCAAATGGATATTAAAAATTAATCTTAAATTAAATATATTTTTCATAAATAAGTATAAATTGTGTAATAATTATATATAAAAGAAATAAATATATATATATATATACACACAACTGACACAAGTAGAATTGTAAATTTATAAATTTGTATAATTTCATATTAAAATTTAATCGATTTTCAACAACAAATCTAAAGTCCGAGTCAATCCAATAAAAAAATAATTTATTCAATTATCAGTTTTTTTTATTAAATTGGATCGACTTATTAACATCCCTATCCTCAAGTGCCATAGAAAGATATCCATACAAATATACTTTTCAGTTCAGTTATAAATATATTATGGACTTAAAACATATATATATATATATATATAT